CAAGCGGCTTTGCCAGTTCAACATTAATGTTTAAAATGCTTTACGGCAGTGTTGCAGGACGTGGTGGGTTTTCGCCTGGCAAGAGTTCTCCCTATAAAAAGCTACAAATGTATGTTTAAGTGCACCGCGACGTGGCGGATGTGACTCGCCACTGAATAAAGTCACACCCCACAACTGCATACTGGCAAGTCGACTAGACTCACATATCAACTCTTCCTGACACCGTTTCAACTACACACGACTGAACCCGATGTATCGTCGTGATACACAACTGTTTTTAAACCTTGATCATGCCTAAGTTGGTGCGTCTCTATGAAACTGAGGATAAACTATTTCTTTATTTATTTCATCACGGACATATGACCAATTTTCTACCATTACTGTTACAGTTGCCATAAAATGTTTGTACAGTTGTACATATCTGATCATGCCTCCGTGGTCGTGCCTCGCATAGTCGAGAATAAAGTATTAATTTATTTATTTATTTATGCGTTATAGGGATATAAGTGGGAAGCATAGCCTGCTACTTAAAGTCCTATGTACAAATGTGCGGAGCTACAGTGTTAAAGATAAGTCGTTGGAGGACCGTAGGTAGATGGTGCTAATGAAGAGAGGGTTACCAGAACAAAACATGCAAGAAATGTTGTAAGGATGTGCGCTGGTTGAAAGCAGGATAAACAGAGATTATTCAATGGTGTTTTGGTTTATAGGGTTACAATTATATTAAGCGACTATGGCAGCTTAGGGATAAGGATATACCTAGGAAACATTGCCTGTTAATTGTGGCTCTACGCAAAAGTTGCGGCGCTACAGTGTGGTAGGTAATCCGGTGGAGCATTGGTGCTTGGTGGTTCGTAAGACGGAAAGAGCCGGAGCAAACTAGATGACTGAACCATTAGTACGACACAAGGATGGTCAGTCAGCTTGGACTGATACTTGAGGTCTCACTCACCAAAATGCGGAGCTACTATGTGAAAGATATGTCGTTGCAGGACCGTAGCTTGATGGTGCATGGGAGGAGAGGGATTATGGAGCCAAACATGTAAGGGAACTAGTATGAATACGCGATAGTTGGAAGCGGGAATGGGAGAATATTCAATGTTGTTTTGGTTCATAGGTAAGAAATATAAATAAATAAATAAATAAATTTTTATTCTCGACAACGCGAGGCACACCTTTACAGGCATGATCATATTTAGCTAACACAGTGGGATCAAATAGTACAAAAGGACATGTTTAGCATAAAAGTGTGTGTAAGTACATGGGTGTATATACGCTTAAACTAGGTCTTTTTAAGCTGGATAAATTTCATTCCGCTTTATTTGGTTTGTTCTGCCTCCCTGAATAATGTTCTATTAACTGGCCACGTTGCTTACACGAATTGCGCTTATCTTCGGTAATTTTGTTGCGTTTGTAGCATTTTAAGTAACTTGTGGACATTTCTTACTTATCACGGATTTGTTGCTAACCAACTTACTTCATATGGTAATTTAGCGAAGAGTTATGCCACCGTATCTGTATGCATTATTGGATTTATTTTATTTCAGCTTATCGTTTAAATTGAATGGCTGTTGTTTGAAATCCCTGGTATGGTTGCGCTTGATGTGTATGTTGACAAGGTGCCTACCTGTCTATTACCCACTACATTGTTCATACTGGCTCCAGGAGACAATTGGTCGTTGCTGGAGGGGACGGGGTGCACGGTTCTTGTGGCCGTGTTAGGCTCAAAGAGCGGTTCCATGCACTCAGTGTGGAGCGGACTACGGTCCAGCCACCGCCTTGTGTGCGCTTGATTCCCCAAATACAGCGTGCTTGTGGTTGCCTGTGAAGGAGTGTGGGCCGGCTCCGTTGATGAAACGTGGTTCCCATCCGCACGCCTCCCGGTCTTATTCCTTCGGGTTTACACTGGATATGGGGTATGTGGTTGGAGCTGTGGGTGGTGCAGCGCAAGCCATCCATGGTCCCTCTGTAGGCGCAGGCGTCCTGTGGCTTGCCACAGTGACAAGCAAATCCGAAACCAGATGCCGTT